CCAACCCCCACCCCAGGAAATCTGCTACATGTAAACGTCTTTGAAAAAAAATATACTGTCTGCTGATGATACACCATTGCCTGACTACATTGCTAGGGAACAAAACCTCCAATACAAATACATTTTTATAATGAAGTCAACAAGATTGCTATCAACACAATTGTGTACTGTAGGTTCACAGTTCAAAGTTCAGACCTGATGTATTGTACAAGAGTCTTACCTAGAATGGCACACGACTCTGGAGCTTTCTCTGGACTCAAAAAGGATTTGAATAATTTTAAAAAGACTTTTTTTTCTTTTAGACTACTTACAACTCCATTGTAGCTGTTATGTAAGATCCCAAGCACAAAAGCCCAACACCTAGACTTCTCTTATTTTTGGAATCACCAAAATTATAAAAATTCACACATCTGTGCTAGAAGACGCAGTATTATTTCTTTGTAGCACAGTAAATCACACTAGCTATGCAAAATAATCAGGAGTTACAACATCAGCATCCATGTATGCTGTTCTGTGTAATTAGGAATTTAACATTTTTGGTAGTCTTAGTTTTATACGATAACAGTGTATTATCAACACAATCTGAAATATATTAAATTTGAAAAATTAATATTAAATAAAAAAATACATTAATTATTAAATAAAAATATATTAAATTAAGATCTATTAGCAGTGAATTGCTTTTTCATAACAGGAACAAGGTGCTTTATCTTTTTAAGATGTCTGATGTTTCAAATGCTATGAATAATTAAGGATAAACACACGGAAAAAATCTGAACTTTTACAATACTGAAAATGAGCTTACCAAGAGTAAACCCTTTTCTTGAAAAAAACAAACAAACAAACAACCCAACCTCACAAGCAAAGAAAATCTTTGGTAGTATTGAGATGATGTTGCCATGATTGTCCAGGAGACACATGAAAGGCAAGAAATCTTGTATGTGGGATCTTTTATTGGATCAGTTGTATGGCTGGCCCTAGTGTTTAGTGTCCAATAGACTGATGTAAAAGGTGCTGGGGAAGATTTTCACAGGAAAAAATAACTTCATAATAAATGCATCAACTACAATTTGCTGCTGCCATAAGCCAAATCAGCTCCACAGGCAATGTTATTGCATACAACAATGGGGAACTTGGGTCACCAACTGCTTCAAAATAATATTCACAGTATACTAATTCTATACCTTCCAACACATGAGCCCACGAAGTTCCACTATCAAACCAAATATCCAGAATGTCCTGTCCCTTTACATAATCCAGTGCATTGTGGTTACCAACCTATTGGAGTAACAGGTGACAAGCTCAGTCAGTGTACAAAGATCATTCTGTACTATCAGTAACAGAAAAACTAGACACGCCCCCCCCAACAGTCGGATTTAGTACTTAGTCTATTCATGTTCTGGGTGAGGTCCAGAAACATGCACAGTTTGAAACAGTTTGTGCGCACAACTGTTTGTAATAGCTCGCTTCTGCACCAGCTAGAAGGCTGGTGCTCCAAAAGGCTTAGCAGGCTGAGGGCAGCAAAAGAATCAGAAGCCACCGTAGACAGGTCACACACAAAGGGGCAGAAGAATTGAGCCATTAAAAAAACAAGTAGTAAAAAGTACCATATTTACTTGAATATGGGTGCTTGCACACGTGAAAGGAAAAAAAAAAATGCACTTAACTTTAAACTTGGAATGTTCCCCTGTGATGAGCCCAGCACATGTCCAGAAAACACTGCACATTACCTCGACCTGGCTCTGCACTGTCTGTATAGACTGGGTGCTTTTCTGGCACTTATCTAACAGCTAATTGAATCAGCTTTAGATAAATGCATCAAAAAGCTCTGCTGAAGCACCTGATTTATACAGATGCTGCAGTGACGGGACAAACTAATGCACTGATCCTTCCAAGAAAGCGCAGGTTTTTGTTTTTCTTCTCCCCCCCACCCCCCATCTGCAAGCAGCCTATAAGACAAGGTTTTTCCCCCCTCAATCAACACCAGGGAAAAAATCCCCTAATCCTACATTAGCATAAATAGCTTAGTTTTCCTTTAAAAAAGCATAATTTGTACTCCAGTAGGTGCTAAAGTGCTATTTAAAAGTGTTTTTATGGAGAACCTGTCCTAAAACTTGCAGCAGTGACAAAAAAGGTAAAAGCTATAATTTCTGGGTGATTTGTGTCTATGGGTACTACATGCAAACTGCTACAGCTATGTTTATTTCAAGGTTAATAGGGTCTGATAGTAAGGAGAGGGGAAGGGGCTGTACAGGGAAGAAGTTGGGGGGCTAGAGGGCAAAGGAGCTATCTAACTCTAGAGATTTATTCTCCCCCCCGCCCAGCCATGGCAGTAGGAGGTTGATAAATTGAAGACAAACCTCCAATAATTAGATTTTATACCTGGAAAATTAATGTCTCAAATTTATAATTTTTCCATATATGAAATCTAATTACTGGCAGGTCATTTTATAAATCAAGGTCATCTTATATTCCAGTAAATATGGCCCTCAAGCTGAATGCAGCCTTCAAGAGGTTAACCCGTGGCCCCTGGACTCCCAGTTCAGGTGCTGCTCCCCCCCACCCCATCACTCTCCTGCTGCCATCCTGGGGTCTCTGAGGTCCCCCCTGCTTCTGCTTCCTATTCCTGGAGGCAAAGGAAAAGGGAACTCATGGTCAAGGGTTCAGGGAACCCAAGGACCTGCACAGCACAGGCATGTGGCCTCTGGCAATTAAGCTGGACAGCTCTGCCCTGACACATTCTTATTTAATACCTTTTAAAAAAGTGGGGGGAAAAAATCCCAAGGACCACAAATATCGGAGGGCATTATACTGCTGCCCATGAAACACCATCAGAGGAAAAGACATACCTTTGCTACAGCCTCTCTTGGTAGAAGCTGCTCGACAGGGAGGGTCCACCATGCATCACTTCCTTGCTGCTCCACTATTCTAATAACGTTCCCAATGGTTTTACTAAATACACGAATAAGAAAGAAGAATGTAACAAGATTAAAATCAGTAAATTACTATACATTTCTTAATGTAACTACACGTTTATTTAGGCCACGTACATACATTCAGCTTCTATAAGGAGACACACTGTTCTCCCAGCAGAAAACAAAAGCGTGCAGATGTGAACCTCTCTCCCCCAGAGTGAAAACGGTGGCGCAGGAACAACCCAGGTTAAATTGCTCCTAGCAGTTTCTCCTGGGAGACTGAATGTCTGCACACTTTCCCCCAGCTTAAATCCTCCTGAGGACCAGGAAGGTAGCCAGAGGAAAAGGTTCCTTGTGCCTTCTTGAGACCAGGGCCACACCAGTCTGCAGAAGGTGTGTGCATGTGGGAGAGAGGGTGAAGTGGCTCGTCTCCTGCTTCTCGCACCAGAGTTCCTGATGCAAGTAGCAGGCAGGGGCTTTGCCAAGCCATTCTCTCTGCTCAACTCCTGGGTACCAATCGCTGCACCCTGACTGCTTCCCCTTGTTTCCTTCTCCCCGCTTTCAGCTGAGCAGCCAGTGCAGCAAGCCACACTTACAAGCCCAGCTCTTGGCCTGCCAGCTTCCCCTTACCTCCCCACACTGCTCAGCTGAGTAGCCGGGGCACCAACTGAAAAGTCTGGCTCTCAGCTTTGCTAGTTTCCCTTGCATCTCACCGCTGCTCAGCTGAGTGGTGGCGGGCAGCCATTTAAAAACCAGAGGGTCCTGGAGCATGGCATGCAGAAGCTTTCCCCAAGCCCAGCTCCCAGCCCTGCTGGCTTCCCCTTGCAGGCAGAGGAAGGCTGCTGTGCCAAAGTAGCAAAGCTTGTGAGCCTTGCCACCACAGTAAAAATGCCCATGCTACCCTGCACTGCTCTGGGCCAACCTGGAACAGTATTGGGTGAGGCAGACTGTTGTACCTCTGTGGCAAGGCTCCCAAAGCCTTACTGCCACAATTGAGGTTCTCTTTCCTCTCCCTGCACTCCTCCAGATCAGCCCAAAGGAGTGCAAAGAATGGTGGCTATTTTCCTGTGAGAACCAGCAGGATTCCTATCATGGGAGAATGACCGTCTCTTGCTAATCAGACCGATGGTGGGTGGGATGGGGGACCATTCTGGGAGAAGAACCCTCCCTGGATGTATGGCAGCTACTGCTTTTCAGAAGCTGCCAACTGCCTTTTGACAGCTGGACCCCTTTCCAGGCAGGGGAGAAGACAGGCTCTTGAATAATCTACTTGCCTCAGGGCAGGAGTAGTCCAAGGTGCAGCCCTCTAGTGCCCCTGGCTGAAGACTGCTTGTGAAGCTCTTCAGGTCATAGGGACGGAGGAACTTCTGTACAGTCCAGCTCCCAGAAGACATTTCTTCCAGTAGAATGGAAGACCTTGTACACAGTCTTAGAGCACATAACTGTACTCCAGGTGCTTGAGCTCACTGCAAATGAGCTAGCTTGGGTATCAAATGTAGTACAGCTGTGCTAAGTAGGTGCACTACCCTGGCTAACCTACCCAGCCTCAGCCACAAGGCACTTTATGGTGCAGTGTATGTTCCCTGTGCCTGTGTACATAAACCAAGCCACTAAATCAGTGGTTTCCAAACTTGGTCACAAACCACCAACAACTGGACGTTTTTTCTGGGTGTTTATATAGTAAAATATTTTGAGAAACATGGTGTGAAGCATTACTCGAGTGGGAAGAGGTGGGCCTAGTAGAGCCACCTCTCTAACAAAGGACCTTGAACATGTGACCCTCATAGCTCCTGTGCCAAGTATACACACTTACTTTTATGGTTTCTTTAAGACTGCAAAATTACCCAATATTGTGGTTAAAGGGTCAAATCAGGTCTATTTGATCACTTGCTAGTCAATTAGTTGATCTCAATTTGTAGAATGAACAAGCAAACAAAAGACAGTTCTGAAAAAGAACAGTTTTTGAGAGCATATTGTTTTCAACAAAACATGAAAGTCTTCTGGTTTCAACTTAGAAATTAGACCTATGTACAATCCTATATCTAAAATGCCACTAATACTTGCTTTTATTTTAATTAATTAGCTAATATAGCCTGTGGACACATAACAGTGTTATGGTATTTTTATTACTGTAACAAGTACAAAAATATCTCCTACTGACATTTTTTTTTAAGTCTCGTTTCCTTCCCCCACTTCCCTGTTTGCTGACTTTCAAGACTCAAGTTATAGTCTTGGGTGAAATCCCAGGGGAACTGAGGTCAATGGGAGTTTCATCCTTTGTGTTTTTTGGCAACAACTAAAGATACCTCAAACAGCTTGAGCTCAGGGCCTCCCAAACTGGATTGTCAAATTCACCAATGACTCTTGGCCTTGGAACAGTCACTGAATTATTTCAGTTTCCCAGTTTTCTACCCACCTTTGGCCAGATCCATTAAGGTTTTTCCTAAAAAAGTCTACAGTTGGTAGTAACCAGGAGAACACATGTTTACATATGGCAATAGAAAACATTAGGCTAGTGGTTCTCAACCTTTTTTTAGATTCCTGGAATCCCTCTGAAAGTGACAGCTCTTAGCTTTCACTTGTTTCTTGACTACGGAAAACTGATAGAGCAATTCTTCTGTTGCAAAAAAACAAACTCAGAAAGACCATAAGGAGGCCAAAATGTTTTGGAAACTAGGGATTCACATTTGGGTTTATCGTGTGAAACATGTGCAAATACCCAGTCATCTATGCAGCACTAATATTGTGCTGCACCCTGGCCGAGAGTCATTGTCTTCAGCTTTCAACTTGTGCATGGTGTAGACCTCCAAGCACAGTTTAACACGCATCAGATTCTATGTGTAACCCTGTCTACACTAATGTTATAACTAGTGTGGCTGATCATTTAAATGGTAATAGAATAATGTCAAAAAACAAATGCCAGTGAAAGTGCAAGCCTAAGAAGGGAATAGTGTTGAAGTTTCTTTTACAGCAAGGGTGTCAAAGATACAGTCTGCAGGCCGGATCCAGCCAGTGAAGCCCTATGATCAGGCCAGTGGGTCTCAGACTGACCCCCATGTACTGCATGTGGCACACACCAGCCCTGGACCCACACACTGCATGCAACATGTGAAGTGGGTCTGCCATATGCTGCATGTGGTGCTCAGGCACTGCACATAGCACAGCAGGCTGGTCTGGGAAACACGCTACATGAAGTGCCTGGCTTGACCAGCCCTGCAGGCTGGCTCTGGTGTCAGTCCAGATCAGGTCCACAGACCAGCCCACAAGTGCCACAGCCACAGTGCAGGGCTGGTCCAGCCTCAGTGCTGCATGCAGTATGTGGTCTGTGCTGGCTCTGCACAAGCCCTGGACCAAGGCTAGTACATGCTGCATAATGTGCAGGACTAGTTGGCCTGATCTGGCCTATGGGGCAAAATAGGTTGGACACCCCTGTTCTATAGCAAAGCTTTAATGCTTGCTAGTTTTTACTTTCCACCATAACAGTGGCAGAACCTGCATCTCAGATGAAACCTCCATTTGGTGTCAAAGTATCAAATGCTGTAGAATTACAGAATCATAAAAATTTAAGTCAATATAATCATAGAAATCAAATTACAGAATCATAGAAAATGAGGGTTGGAAGGGACCTCAAAAGGTCATCTAATCCAACCCACTGCTCAAAGCAGGACCAGCCCCAACTAGATCATCCAGGCCAAAGCTTTCTTTAGCCGGGTTTTGAAAGTCTCCAAGGATGGAGCTTTCACCAGCTCTCTGGGTAACCTGTTCTAGTGTTTTTCTATCCTCCTCATGAGAAAATTCTTCCTAATATCTAACCTAAACTTCCCTTGCTGCAACTTGAGACCATTGCTCCTTGTTCTGTCATCTGCCACCACCAAGAACAGTCTAGCTCCATCCTCTTTCGAACCACCTGTCAGGTAACTGAAGGCTGCTATTGAATCTCCTGTTAGTTCTCTTTTCCAGAGTAAATAAACCCAATTCCCACAGCCTCTCCTCAGAAGTCATGCCCCCAAACCATTTCTGTTGCCCTCTGCTGGACTCTTTCCAATTTATCCATATCCTTTCTGTAATGGGGATCCCAAAATTGGACACAGTACTCCAGATGTGGCCTCACCAATGCTGAACAGAGGGGAATAAGCATTAGGCCTGTGCAAAGCATCTAGTATACACTTTGGGTGCCGATTTGGGGGACAGCGATTCGATTCAGTGATCTGAATCACCGTCTCGAATCGATTAGACCAAACCCGATTTGGGGATTCAGCCACTGCCAAATCGGCCAAATCTCCGAATCAAACAGGCCCCATCCCCTGCCCACTCTCCCAGTCCTGTCAATGGCTGCCCTTCCCGGCCCCAACATCCAGGGTCCTAAAAAAAAAAAGCCCTGCATTCACTGGCTATTGCCAGGCAGTGGGGTGATCCTCACTACCCTCCACTGCTACTACTACTCCCCCCAACTTAGTGTCATCTGCCAACTTGCTAAGGGTGCACTCCATTCCATCTTCCAGGTTATTGATGAAGATATTAAACAAAACCAGCCCCGGGACCAATCCCTGGGTCACTCTACTTGATACTGGCTGCCAACTGGACATTGAACCATTGATTACTACCTTTTGAGCCCAAAGAACAAGACATTTTTCCATCTACCTTACAGTCCATTCATCATGTAGGGGTGGTGCACCGGCTGAACTCGACTTCCCAGCAGCTCCCCCGAGATCTGCCCAGCTGCAGCATCTCCACTGCCACTGCTGGACCCAACCCTACTACCTGGGTACCCCAGCTTGTCCACTCTGCACCTACTGCTGGGGGCGTTGGACACAGTGGGTAGGCAGCCGGGGTCTCCATGGAGACCAGCCCATGACCTCTGTCGGAAGGGTGCACTTGGCTGGGCAGATGGGATGGGGCTGTGGGTGGGTGGGGAATGGTGTTCAGGAGTGGGCTGGGTGGGTGGACGGGCAATGACAGTGCGGGGCCACGGTTTGGGATCTGGGGCACAGCTCTGATCTGTTCTTCACATGTCTCTTCCCATGGAACTGGAGCCCA